ACCTCATCGAGTCAGTAAGTGCTGTGGAATTGAAGGCTGCAATACTGAACTGGTCCTCTGTCCTAACAGCAATGCTGTACTGCAAGTGGTTGGGTCTGAGCTCAGTAATTGTGGACGAAAACGTAACCGTGACAGTATCTTAGCTATCGTCAAGTATCAAGGAGTCAAGACTCTTGTGGTTGGAGATTTCGAAGGTACCAAGACGTTCATTAGAAAGTATCTTGATTGTGTGGGCCACGCCCCCAACAGTGAGCTCCAGTCTGATATATACAGACTCTCCCATCATGGAGCATGGAACGGGCTGGCTAACAGGAGAGAGTTCTTAGCTGCAGTTGATGCTAAATACGTGTTCTCCAGCAGCGGATTAAAGTCTAACTACAAGCACCCACGATGTGAGCTGTATGATATATATAAAGGAAGAGTTGCTGTAGAAGAGAAGTATCATCAGTATACTTGTTATAAGAAGTATGGAGGTGCTATTACTTATTATATTAATGATGCTATTTATGTTACTAGTGTTATTAATAGTGAGGAATCCATTAATAATTATATTATTTATTTTAATATTAATAATAATGGAAAGATACAATCAGGACTAACTATTGTTTAATTTAAAACAATAATTTTTTCTACAATATTAAAAATAAAATTGACTAAAAAATTAAACAATGGTTATTTAAATATACGTCCCAAACCAATCCCAACAAGAGAAGCAACTCCTCCCACTCCAGCTCCCACTGCAGCTCCTATTGCAGTGCCAGCAACAGGTACTACAGAACCAATTGCTGCTCCAATACCAGCACCAGCACCAACAGAACCAAGAAAAGTCCCTGCTTCAATAATACCTCGGTTCCTGGCATAAAACGTTAAGAAAGGACGCGCTTCATCACTGCAACGATCAATACATGTCTCCCACAGTGTTTTAACCCAGTCTTTAGTCACAAGCAATTTCCTTTCATATTTAATCCCAGCTAAACAAAATGGTATCCTCTCCAATACTTTCTTGTTAATACGTCCAGAAAGAAATTCAACAACGAACACTTTGTGTTCAATTCTCTGCCTTTCCATTTCACTTTGATCTACTACACTCTCAAGTTGAATAAAGAGGTTAGCAAATGTCAATACAACAACTGTCCTCTTCCACATTTCTTCATGTAAGTAAGAGGCCAGTTCTGAGAACATATGAGGATCAGCTCTATCTAGTAACTTTGCACAAATGAGGATTAAATCAAACTCGTTACATTTAGCAATGCCTAATAAAATATTGTCTTCCCTTTTGCCTCTAGTATTAAACCCAATGGTGACATAAAGCTTCATCTTCACACCCTTATACTCTCCTTCATGTACTTCCATGTTAATTTCAGTTGTAACAATTACTACATCCTTCCCAAACATAGCATTAATGAGTGTTGATTTACCAGCACCAGGTGGACCAATCACTAATATATTGACAGGCCTTCCTCTATTACGTAGCTCCTTTACCTTATTATCAACATCACTGCCTTTTTTACTGTCTTCAGTAGGATTATCTTCAATGTTTTCATTTTCTTGAATGTTCTCATTGCCTGGGACAATTATTATGCTGTTTTCACCTTCAGCTTCAGCCATAACCACCTCTCTAAAGCATGGGTCTCATGTGACCAGACTGACCTCACAAAAACTATTTTATCAGGTGTGCAAATTATGGTACCATTATAATAACTGGAGGAGTGAACTGATCCTTGTCACTGCCTATGGTATGTTTGCTACCAAAAAGTATTATAAATTGCCAAAACTTACAAGCAAAAAAAACTATAATATCAGTTTAATTATTTTCTTAAACATCGCAGAAATGCCAACAACAGTCCAATAAATCCACCTCCCACTATAGCTCCTATTGCAGGA